TTTTTCTAAAGTTTATAATTTCTTATAGTTCATTATTAAATTTGTATTTTTCATATATTTATTTATTTATTTTTGAAATATTCATTTTATAAAAAAATTTTTTTATTCCCCATTTCTATTGATGACAGCTCAAATAATACTCATTTTTTATGCATATCTATTTCTTTACGAATATCAAATCCATTGGCTCAAAAGTATCTAATTTTTTTGCTTTAGAGATTCAATGGCGATTTGCAACGCGCTGCAAACTTTATATTTAGTAATGACACTGAAGAAGTAAAAATAGCATTTATAAACTATTTGCTGTAGAAAAAGATTGTGGCACTTTCAATCAATGATATTTTCCCCAATCATGCTTTAGACTTCTGGATTAGCACCATTAGGTTCAGATTCACAAAATGATAACTGGAATCAAGGAGGTAAATAGATTAATCTTGTTCAAAAAAAAAAAAAAGTTTCTTAGATAAAACAAAATTGAATATAGTTAGCTACACACTGACCACATAAATATATGCTAGTTATTTAAATTTCTTTTTTGACAAATTTTTATTTATTCTTTTTTGTAAAGGGGATACCATGTTAGGTTGTCTTGATAGAGAAACTTCCTCTTTTGAAAATGGTTTGTGTTATTTGAATTCCTTCAATTAAATTAGTACGTGATTGACTTTATTTTTTGACTTATTATATGTTCAATCATAAGATCGTGATTTGAAAACAGCGATAGATGCCTCTATGGTTGAGATTGCTGATAAAGAAAATGAAGATCTCCAAATGGCAATAGACATGAGTAAGTCAACCTCGTACCAGGAAACTAAAGACAGTTATGGTGATTCTCGCGCCGTCGTTTTGTATAGTGGCAATAAGGTTTGTCACGAGATTTTTATAATGCAATGTGAATTAATACAATGCGAATTAAGAATTTGTTGAAAATTTCTACATTTAACTAATTTTATTTTTTAACAAAAAATAGAATGGTAATGACTCACAATATCCAAGATCAGATCAGAATTGGTGTGGTGATTGGGAACAACCGGTGAAAAGACAAAAGCTTGACACAACGTAGGTGCTATAATTTTTTTTTATAATTTTTATAGTAAATAATAATATTTTATAATATACCTACAAATCAGTCCTCTTGGGTTAAAACCGGTGATCGATTATTATTATGCCAGTTCTTTTTTTCAAGCATTGTTTCACATTCCTATTTTTCGATTGTCTTTGTTGGCATTTCGTCCGACTAAGGACGATTGGGGCAATGTAGAAGGCTATTGGAAGGGTCAAAAACATTACTATACCAATGATGATAAATCTAAACTTTATAGTAACGTGAATCGACAGGAATCTTTAAAATGTGAGTGTGCGGTAATATCAATACATTCAATAATCTAATTTTAACTATGTGCTTTACGTCTATATTCCATTAGTCATTCATGAATTTCAAAAGCTCTTTGGTTTTCTATCGTTGAGTCAAAGAGCATATGGCGACTCAAGTCAATTAGTGGATGTTTTGGATTTTGATGAAAAAGCAATCTGGAATGAAGCAGAAGTCGTGTCTAGTAAGTGTGCATCTTGAAATCTCGAACGTTAACGAGTTGAATTTCATTTTAAAATTTAGATGAACTTACAAATTCTTTTCATAGGCTTTACTAATAAATTAATTGTTAAACTGCTGGAAGGATCGAACTATCGGGATCGAGTTTCTGGGGATCAAGACATTCCTGCAGATCTTCAACCTTATATTTTAGATTTTGAAAAGTATAGTAACTGTTGTAAATGTATTAATTTTGATAAAACTTGACGTTTACATCTTTCTTTTATCAGGTTATTTAGGTCAAATGCAGAAAATTTGATTTCAAAAAAATATGGAAACACTTATAGTCAATCAGATAGACATCACAATGCTACTAATATGATATCCTTGATTATATTTTGCAATATATATTTTTTTCCTATTACATTTTCTTAAATTTATTACACTTAATTCGTTGCCACCAAACCCTCTAGACGTATATCCTAGTTGTCAAACAATTTATGATGCATTGGATCGCGTAATGCAAGAGTCGAAAGGGAGTTTGCGTAAACCTTTCTTTACAAAACTAGCACATATATTGGTAATGAACTTAAAACATAGAGATAGTGACGGCAATGCTAGTTTTCCTACTTTCCAAGGAGATTCAACATTCCAAGTTCTTAAGGAATTATACATGGATCGTTACATGTATGAAAATAGTCAATTTGTCGAAAAGTGCTGGCAAGAAATTGAAATAATGAAGAATGAACTAGAAAAAATAGACCTGAACATTGATAAAATTATTAAGTTTCAGGTAAGGTCTTGTAACAATTTTACATGATCACAAATTATTATTGACATTTTTTTTTATTAGGGAAAACATAATGGACCTGAATTGCTTAAAGGTTCAATAGAGCACTTTCAGCAAAAGTGTAAAAAAGCAGCAGAAAATGGAACAACTGATGATGATGCACAACGGACAAAGACGTGGTTAGAGGGAGTCTTGGACAAAGTTGAACAAAAATTGAATGGTACATTACTGATTTTATTTAACTACATTTTAATTTATAAAGCATTGACAATTTTATTTGATTTAGATCTGTTGAAAAAAAAGGATGAATTAGAACAAAGCATTAAACAAATATTTGATACACCTGACATGAAAAAATATCATTATCGTCTTAAAGCAGTTTTAGTTCATAATGGACAATCAGGGCAAGGAAATCACTGGGCTTATATATGGGTTTCAAGATGTAGCAAATCAGATAATCGTGTTTCTAATGCCGTGGATAATGGTAATTGGATGAAATTCCAAGACAATAGTGTAGAAGAGGTAAATTTATTATTAAGGATATGTATATATAGAGTTTTTTTTTTTTTTTTTATTCAAATTCAATCAAGACGCAGATTGATATAATAATCAGGCAATTGAAAACACGGTGCTTAACGAACCGGGAATTTATCATTCGAGTCACAGTGTTTACACACTTTTTTATGTAAATGCACGATTTGATTGCAATTTTTCAAACCTTGAAGATGTTATTCCTGATACACTCAAGGTTAGTATCCGTATTTAGCAAGTTTATGTTAAAGTTTATACATTATTTTTACGACAAAATTAATTTAAATATTTGTCTATTAGGCATTTGTAGAAAAAGACAATCAAATACTTGAGGAAGAAATAGGTAATCAAATCCGACGTGCAGAGTTAGCAGACAATAATAATGCTATGGAAGGTACATGGGAATCAGATTCTACCGCATGTGGAGGATCATCAGATTCCGAAAAGATTCAAGGCCGCATCGATACAATAAAAGATCAAGCAAAAAATCTTAAAATTCATGATGCACGAATTTTGAAAAGGTAAATATCGAAAAATTAATGATATAGAAATTGATATTATTAATAAATTTGATTTATTACATTTTTAGAATAGAATTATTTTTCGTTAAACTTGGTAAAGGTGATGAAATTAAATCGCTTATAACAGATTACTCAAAATCCGTAAGTTAACAATATATTTTTTTTGACGTGTATTTTTGATTTATATTATTTTTATTGATTGATTGATTGATTGATTGATTGATTGATTGATTTACGTTAATAACCTTAAACTATCACCTTAATTTTAACAGACAGTAGGTTTA